CAAATTGCTTTATGCTTGCCCATGCAAGTGGGACAACCAATGATGAAATCCACCATTACGAAAATGCATTATTTGACAAAGTAAGTTACTTCAAAATAAATTCTACCGTGGATTCTTTAGTATAGGGCCCACAGCCAACAAATAAAGCACAAAAGGTAGCTTCTTCAAATAGCAAGAGAGGACAATACCTGCTTACATTTTTAGGATGCCTTTCATCCCAAAACAAGTCCCAAACTATACAAAGCATGGACAGTATAGTTCCTTATGGGCACATGCCTACATTAGAGGAGCTGCACAACTACATTGTCCCAGCAGGCACTGTACCTCAAGAAGGCACAATATCATTCAGAGCTCCCTGACACACAGGGAGAGCACAGCTGCTGCTACACTCCTTAATGGGGTGCAATGTACACTGATTCCCTGGCCAGCCAGCTCTGCTGTCTAGTGTGGCAGTAAGGGGACCATGGGTCCTTCTCCCCACCCCATCTGGAGAGGTTAACACTGCCATAGACTAGATTTACATGGTCACTGTGCTCACGCATGTGCAAGGACTGTAGTAGTGACTGGCATCTGCTTAGGAGGCACAAGGGGTAGTGACGTCCTTATGTGCTTTCATAGTGCTCATCTGTGCAGAGCATAGTCACAATTCAAATCCCTAAATACAGAAATCATTTCATACATTGCTGAAGACCACCTGCCTTAGGGTGAAATACAACAGCACACAGCAACCATAATCAATAGTTTAGGACAGGAAATGACAAATACCATATCCATTTGAAACTAAAGAGGAAGTTTAGGGAAGCATAACAATTTGTCCAGGAAACCAGAGCTAACATCTCCTGCTCTTGTGAAGAAGGCTGCTAGACGTTTAATTACCACAATGGTCACATCCTCAATTTTAACTATTCTCATGAAACATCGAACAAGCAGGGAGCTCAGTATTCTTCACAAGTTCTCAGGCTCTAGCTGAGTTAGCAGTCTAGATTAATGCAGTACAGCAGCAGACACTTCCAAAAGTGTTTTCAGGAACTCTGAAGCCTCCCACTGAACACAAATAGAAGACTCAAGAATTCCCAATCATCTTTAAGGCGCTTCTAAGTACCTGAGACAGCACTTAGTGAGACTGGTTAATTTCACCACACTACCTTTCAATAATATGCCAAGGCCTACTGTATAATAAGAATAAAGAGTAAGCTGACATATAATGCAAGACTATAGAGTTCCACAGAGAAATTTTGGCGTCATCATTAACCAAACAAGTGATTTGTTACCACAAGTCAAAGACAACAGAATTTCCCCATGATGCAATGCAGAATTTTGGTCTGTAGGACTTTCAGTAACTTCTACATTATGATTAGAGTATTAACTACCACTCTATTTTCTTCAAAGAAATTTTTAAAATGCCATACAAGAATATGCCTGTTTTCAAACTTGCACATTCACAAAAACACCAATAAGTTTGATTTCTTGAATGCTGTTCATAATAAAGTAACCCAAACAACATCCCAGCAATATTTTGAAGACAAAACTGCCTTCTCATAAGTTTCCACTGTAGTCCTCAATTCCTTTCCTCTGATTTATTAACAATGATCTTCTTTTCAAGCATGTATGTAACAACTGCTGACATTAATGAGAATTATATGTTTACACTGAAGATACTTTGCTATAAGTCTTAATCAAAGGCAAAGAAATTCCAGGTTAGCCTTGCTCATCCTCATCTTATCTGTCATACATGGATCTTCTAGGGATCTCACAATAGTGTATGACCTCTTTTGTGTGTGTGCTATAACATCTAAGCAGAGGACGACAAGTTATAGACAGAGTGGAAATTTTAGCATTTAATACTTCTGCTTTTGCCAGTTTAAGTTAGGTCCGTAATTTTTTTCATTGACTTTTTTGAAAAATACAGCCATAGGTTACCAGTCTTGTTACCAGTAACTTATAGAAAAGAATACCCCGATATAACGCGACCCGATATAACACGAATTCTGATATAACGTGGTAAAGCAGTGCTCCGGGGGATCAAAACAAGTTTGATATAACGCGGTTTCACCTATAACGCGGTAAGATTTTTTGGCTCCCGAGGACAGCGTTATATCGAGGTAGAGGTGTTTTATAATATAGAAATAGGATTTTAACAGTGGCCTCCTAAAAGCATGTCCCTTTCTTATTTGCATGCTTGTTTTAAAGAAAGGTTTCAATTCCCCTGAAGAATGCTCTTTCAAGAGAATGGTAGGGGAAGGATGGGCTAACAGCAATGAGTACAGGCAGTGAGATAATGTTCTTTTATTAAGATTTAGACCACAAAATAACCCAGACCTTTATCTCTTAACAGAAAGAATAAAAAAATATATTTATTATCAGTCATTGTCAAGGTGGAATAAAATCAGTGAAGGCAAAAAATTTCCTGCTTCTCTCATCTGTCATTATGATTAGTTCATAAGAACAAACTGCAGAAAACAGTAAATCTGTCTTCAAGTCCACTCCCTCAATTATAATTAACAAGCAATATCCTTCCTAAATATTAACCTAGGCCATTTAAACCTGATATGAGAAATATCTCTACTTACCTTATAAAAAACAACTTTACTGTGTTTTAAATAGCTAAAATAGTCACAAGATTTGCTCCATAATCAAGTCTGAAATGTACTGAATTCACCTCCTATAAAGTATTAGGAAATTGAAAATGTGAATGCTATATGTGACTTACAGGACAAGGTAAGTGAGGCAATATCTTTTATTGGACCAACTTCTGTAGGTGGACAGGGTAAACTTTCAAGCTTTAAAAAGCTCTTCCTCAGCTCGAAAGCTGGACCCTTCCACAAACATAAGCTAGTCCAATAAGAGATATTACCACACTTACCTCATCTCTCTCACACCCTCGGACCAACCTAGCTGCAACCTGCAAACATACATTACTTAAGATGTTTAAAAATACATTAAATTGGGTATTACATTTTCAGTCCAGTCTCATCAGCTTCAATAAAAATGAATCATAGCCTTCAAAGACAACTTAAGGGGTCTAATAACTTCTGAATATATACTTTCCTACATGGCTACAGTCTTAATTCATGTTCTGCATAAAGAGCTGACTTGTTAACTAACAGTAGATTTTCTTAGAAGAATCCATCCCAAAATAAAGACCAGCTCCTGCAAACACTACTACTAAAGTCATTATTTGTGGTAGGAACAGGGGCGGCTCTATGTATTTTGCCACCCCAAGCACGGCAGTCAGGCAGCTTTTGGCGGCGCGCCTGCGGGAGGTCCGCCAGTCCTGCACCTTCGGCGTACCTGCCACCGAATTGCCGCCGAAATCGCGGGACCGGCGGACCTCCCGTAGGCATGCCACCGAAGGCAGCCTGACTGCCGCCCTCACCGCGACTGGCAGGCCGCCCCCTGCGGCTTGCCGCCCCAGGCACACGCTTCGTGCGCTGGTGCCTGGAGCCGCCCTGGGTAGCAAGCACTACACTCAGTGGTTGCAGGAGCCGGGCCCTGACACAATGTTATATGTAAAGAATCTACATTGTAAGATCTCTACCCAGTGTGTCTAGAAGTAAGGATGCTGAAGTACAATATTAATAAAGTGAAAACAAAAAAATTAAGGGAGGCAATAACAGTGACAATAACAACAACAACGAGCAAGACAAACGTTGGAAACTGACTTTTCAGAGCTTGCTAGAAAAATATTTTCCCCCTGCCAAAAATCAAATTTTCTTCAGAAACACCCAAAATCTTTTCAACTGAAAACTGCTAAAATTTGAAAACATTTTGGTCTTTGGCTGAAAAGTTACAGTTTCAGATGAAAATACAACAAATGAAGAAAGCACACACTGAAAATTTTCGTGTAATTGAAAACCTGTTTTTCACTTGAAAATAAGGTTGATGGAAAATGTTCAGTCAACCCTACTAATTTTAAATTGAAGACATTCAAATGCAGAACAAAGAGTCCCATAGTTAACCTTTTATTTAAGAAAAATTAAGAACAGGACTATTGTAGAGTGGGGGGCGGGGAGGCAGTTCCAAAATGTAAACCTGGATATTTAGGTAGTTTTACATCCACAAGCATGGAGGCAAAAACATTTTTCTAATATCTCTATATCACTGTTGAGATCATTAGCAATCCAATGATCACATCTAAGCAGGCTGGATTGCAACAGGGCAATATTCAAAGCTATCTAACAGGTTCAAAGGAGGGAGCAGTCTGAATATCGTATTATAGGAATGTCCTGCTTGTTAACTACAAATTCATTCATATTAACAATTGTATTCCTTACCAAGGTATCTTTATCTGATCATCAGTACCGCAAATTCAAAACTCAAGTTAACACTACTAGAAATTTTTCCACTTCATTTTAGACCTTTCATAACATTAGGCAAAAGCCCAGCTGTATTACAAAATATATCTAATTTTAATTGCTTATGGGAATAACAATCATAAGAAAAAGCAAACACAACCAAGGTTACCGCAACCTAGAAGCGGACAACCAACTAGATGGCAGGACATCATATGCATTGATGTGACCAGGCTGGGCTTGATGGAAGAACAAGCCACAGACAAGAATGACTGGTAATACTGCACTGTTCCCAGTGTCTGCAAAGAAACTCCAGGATGAAATGATGATGATGGAAAAAACAACTTGACACTTTATGACTAACTTACATATTAACTGTAATGAAATCCAAGTGAAACAGCTAATAGCAACCAGAAAAGTCTAATATATTCTCTTATCTTGACTATTTTAAAAGAAGTAAGTGTTAAAGATCTAGAGTAAATAATTAGTGTTCCTAAAGTTTGTAGAGAAATTTCAGTAGGATCTTAAAGCAGAAGAAATATTGAGAACTGCAAGAGCGGGGATCACTCTAAGAAAGTGCTAAATTAGATTACAAGAGAAAATACATACTAAATGCAAATTCAGTATAAACAAAGTTAAAATCTTAACATTAGAAGCTGTGAATGAATATCAGAGTGACTGATGTCTGCAAAGGAACTGTGTCTTTACCTCATCATCTTTATACCAGGACAAGCTTTCTGCTGTCAGAACAAACCAGTATTCCTTGGACCCCCCTTTCATGATGCCGATATTGTTGATGGTGAGCCAGCCTTTCCGGATCACCTGTACAGGATTGTAAATCAAAAGACATGTATTAATTGCCCGTCACTCATTCACCAAACACAATTCAGTTTCTAAATTCATTCTTTTGACTAAAAAACTGCTCTACCAATAAAAGGTTCGCTTTTCAGTCATTGACAAATTTGGAATATAATTTCCACATGTTCTGATGACCACAAGAAAAATGCAACATAGAATAGAATGAATTTTGTGAGGGAGAGGGCTTGGAGGGAAAAGAGAAGCCTAAGGATTATCCTCATGTATATATACTATAAAGTATAAGGTTGAATAACAGATGTGTGATCTTGATACTATTTGCTTGCAGTGTAGAAACACATTGCAAAAACCCATACAAAAAACAAAAGGGATAAAAAGGATGGTTGCTTTCACTGCTCTGATACTGCAAATTTTTTAGATCTGGGAGATCAATTGTGGAGTAGGACTCTTGAGCTAGGACCAGACCATACTTCCTCTCTGGAGCAGTCGGTGACTTCTGGAAACCTTACCCTTCAGAGAAGGGGACTTTCTGAAGGGTCCAATTTATCACAGAAATAGTGAGGTCTTTCAAAGAAAAAAAAAGCAGTAACAGAAGTAGAGAGATCAAGGCAAGGGAACAGAGGAGAGGAACAAGAGAAACAGAGGAGGAAAGGAAGGAGCAAAGAGCAGAGAGGAAAGAAAAACTGAGGTTGGGATGCAGAGAAAGAAGAAAAACAAGACTGACTGGAGAGAACAGAAGGGAAACAAAAGGAAAGAATGGCAGAGAGAGAAGGGAGTATAGAAACCAATGCTAAGGTTAAGAGGAAAATCATGCAGGAAAAATGGAGAGCAAAAGAAAACTAGGGAGGGATAACAGGACTCAAGTGGTAAAATGGAAGGAAGAGGACAGGGCAGCAGAGTCGTTTAAAGAAAGCATGAGTACAAAGGTCCACTGAGCTTTCTGATAAAACTATGAATAGTTCAGTAAAAGCTGCTTCTTCCCCAAGTCTGAATTTAAAAGGAAAAGGGTTCACGGGATTACATACACCATACAATGAAGTCTTCCAAATCTCTCTGCGGACTCATGTAAATTTCCACTATTTCTTCCCAAGAAGATTTCCTTTACTTGCTTATGAAAGATTGGGAGTGAGGTTGAAAATGCTCTGGGAGAAATTCTTCAAAAAGTGCTTGGACTTCTAGTGTCTACTACAGAAGCATGAAGTAATGCAATCAAATGGAAGTCTCTGCTTACTTTTATGGCTATGCACTGGGGCGGTGGCAAACTTCTCAAAGACTTCCAATCTCAGCCTGCTCCAACATCAGCAGCAGACAAAATACAAACAATTTGAAGTCTGCTTCATGGTCAATCATCAAAGTTTGAAACTTCGAAGTATATTTCCCTCAATGTGCACATATAATAAGCTCTATTAATGCCAATAGCTTTGATATGTATGCAGTGAGAATATCTTGTACTCATTAATAACAAAGACAACTGAAAAGGGGATGAGGCGCCCCAGCGCCCCTGTTATAGCTGACAAAATATGGGAAAATGTTTGCAACTATAAATTTAGCACCTTTTGTTGCAGTTCTCCCCAAAGGCTGAGACTGCAGAAAAGCTTATGCTATCAGTCTCTGATCAACGGTGATGTTGCTTTGCAAAGCAAATGGACAAACATGGCTTCTGAACGTTTTTAGAGGTGCATTTTAAAACATCTCAATCCTTAAAATATCTTAACCCATACACTCCAAATTCAGCCAGAGCTAGAAAACATGCCAGAAAAGTGGAACATTGGTGGCACAAAGTTAATTTACATCTTCCAGTTCCATAAAGGGAAGCTGAAATTTTGCACCCACCATCGCCTCAACAAACAAAGAAGGACTAAAATGCAGTAAAACCACTGCAAGTTCTACATGGAGTGGAGTAGGCATTGGTAGGGAGAAAGGAGACTCTGCAGAACCCCAGTGTGACAACCCAATACACAGGTGCACATAAGGCGCTGTGGACATGCTATTCAAGTGGTAAGGGTGTAGCAATTTTGCTCTGATATTTAGTCTTAAAAATGGATTGACCAATCTTGTGGTATCACTATGCATTTCCATGGGGGAGATCACAGCTCTGAGTACTAAACATGGTACCCAAATGTCTGGTTTTCCTGAAGTAGATAGAGCACTACAAAGTCAGCTCCTGTGCGGAGGAAGCATCTCAGGTCATCCTTGAGCAGTGCTGATAGGTACCAGAAGCAGTTGCATCTACCCTCCTCAGCGGACAATCTATGACAAATGACACTGGGGTAATAAATAGGCGGGAATGGGAAAATCTGTTGATTCTCTTGGGAAGGACTGGACCTCCCTTTGAAAAATGTTTATATTTTCCTAGCTAAAGAACAAAAATCAAGCACATAACCCAAATGAATAATTAATTTTGTCTCATTGAACAACACTACAATAAGGTTGGCCCTCTCTTCCTTGACTTCCCTAGGACCTAGACCAGGGGTGGGCAAACTACGGCCCGGGGGCCGCATCCGGCCCTCCAGACATTTTAATCCGGCCCTCATGCTCCCACTGGGAAACAGGGTCTGGGGCGTGCCCTGCTCCAGGAACCATGGCCAATGGGAGCTGCAGGGGTGGAGCCTGCGGACAGGGCAGCGTGCTGAGCCTCCTGGCTGTGCCTCCGTGTAGGAGCCGGAAAGGGGACATGCCCCTGCTTCTGGGAGCTGCTTGAGGTAATCATCGCCTGGAGCCTACACCCCTGACCCCCTCCCGCACTCCAACCTCCTGCCCCAGCCCTGATCCCCCTCCCGCCCTCCGAACCCCTTGGTCCCAGCCCAGAGCACCCTCCTGCACCCCTAACCTCTCATCCCCAGCCCCACCCAGAGCCCATACCTCCAGCTGGAGCCCTCACCCCCCTACACACTCCAACCCCCTACCCCAGCCCGGATCCCCCTCCCGCACCTGAACTCCTCATTTCTGGCCCCACCCCAGAGCCTCCACCCCCAGCCAGAGCGACACCCCCTCCCATACCCCAAACCCCAATTTCGTGAGCATTCATGGCCCACCATACAATTTCCATATGCAGATGTGGCCCTCGGGCCAAAACGTTTGCCCACCCCTGACCTAGACAGACTAAATTCATTTCAGGTAGGTCAGCAATCGGACAGTAATAGTTTTCAAATCACTACTGACCAGGCCTGGCCTCAATCCAGCAGTCTAGAGAAGAAGAGCTCTGTAAGTCTGAAACAGGCAGGCAATGTTCACTTAAAGCAGCCCACCCTGTTACCAGCTGTTGAACCTGCAGGGAGAGAATTAAGTTGGTTCTATCAGCGCACTGAGGTTGGTGGCTCATTAATAGGGCCCCACCAAATTCACGGCCATGAAAAAGGCGTCAAAGACTGTGAAATCTGGTCTCCCCCCATGAAATCTGGTCTTGTGTGTGCTTTTACCGTATACTATACAGATTTCACAGGGAAGATGAGCATTTCTCAAATTGGGGGTCCTGACCCAAAAGGGAATTGCAGGGGGTCACAAGGTTATTTTAGGGGCAGGTCGCAGTATTGCCACCCTTACTTCTGCGCTGCCTTCAGAGCTGGACGGCTGGAGAGTGGTGGCTGTTAGCCGGATACCCAGATCTGAAGGCAGTGCCCTGCCAGCAGCAGTGCAGAAGAGTGGCAATACTATACCATGCCACCCTTACTTCTGCACTGCTGCCTTCAGAGCTGGGCGGCCGAAGAGTGGTGGCTGCTGACTGAGGGCCCAGCTCTGCAAGCAGAAGCGCAGAAGTAAGCGAAGCAATACCATACCATGCCATCCTTACTTCTGCACTGCTGCTGGCAGCAGCTATGCCTACAGAGATGGGCTCCCGGCCAGCAGCCACCACTCTCCAGCTGCCCAACTCTGAAGGCAGCACCACCACCAGCAGCAGTGCAGAAGTGAGGGTAGCAGGACTGCAACCCCCCCTACAATAACCTTCCGACCCCGCCACGATTCCTTTTTGGGTCAAGACCCTACAATTACAACACCATGAAATTTTAGATTTAAATAGCAGAAATCATGAAATTTACGATTTTTAAAATCCTATGACCATGAAATTTACCAAAACTGACTGAATTTGGTAGGGCCCTACTCATTAACATACTAAGGGCTTATTTCCACTTACCAGGGGATCGACGCGTGGCAATCAATCCACCGGGGGTCAATTTAGTGGGTCTTACACCCACTAAATCAACCGCCGATTACTCTCCCATCGACTCCGGTACTCCACCGGAACGAGAAGCATAAGGTAAGTCGACAGGAGAGTTTCCCCCGTTGACCCAGTTTGCAAATTAATTCCAGTTCTGCAGCTTCACGTTGGAGTCTGTTTTTGGAGGTTTTTTTTGTTGAAGAATTGCCACTCTGAGGTCTGTTATTGAGTGACCAGAGAGACTGAAGTGTTCTCCTACTGCTTTTTGAATGTTATGATTCCTGATGTCAGATTTGTGTCCATTTATTTGCAAACTAGATACCATCAGATTAGGCCTGAATAAAGACTGGGAGTGGTTGGGTCATTACAAAACCTAAACTTAATTTCCCCAATACTAATTTCTCCCTACTGTTACTCACACCTTCTTGTCAACTGTCTGTAATGGGCCACTCTCTTACCACTTCAAAAGTTATTTCTCCTCCCTTGGTATCCTGCTGTTAATTGATTTATCTCATTAGACTGACAACACTTGGTAAAGCACCCCACATCCTTTCATGTATTTAGACCTGCTCCTGTATCTTTTACTTCATACATCTGATGAAGTGGGTTCTAGCCCACAAAAGCTTATGCCCAAATAAATTTGTTAGTCTTTAAGGTGCCACAAGGACTCCTCGTTTTTTTTGCTGATACAGACTAACACGGCTAACACTGAAACCTAATAGGGACAATGACAGTTACACAGCAGACAATGAATGCCTCAAAGCACCCTGCAAATGTTACAGCATCACAACAACTGTGTGAGGAAGGTATTCTTTGCATTTTACAAACAAAGAAACTGAGGCACAGGGCG